GCCACTGCAGTGAATCCTCAGCACCTGTAAGGTAGAGGTAGAGCGGCAAATATACGAAGTGGCCTCTATTTCGAGAGTTTTTGATGGCTTCTTTTCCTTTTGATGAGTTAATTATCGCTCCATTATGCGCCTCCACCTCCATTTTCAACGAATAAGCACGCCAGCTTGATCGATTCGTTCGGGATTCGCCAGATTCTCTCGAGAATCTCGAGAATAGGGTCTCGTCTTGGTTTACCGCCTTTATGTACTGGGACATGTTTACTTCATGAAATCACATATTAGCGGCGTTCTACGGTTTGGGTGCTACTATGGCTGGTCAAGTGGAGAAAATACGCGCGCGCAATAATCGTTTTCAATGTACTCTGCATTTCCTTCCACTTTTTTTCACTGACGCTCCTCTTCGCACTTCCACTCTCATTTTCAAGCGCAGTAGTCGCGTTAGATTGGTCGAGAAATGTACCTTTGATATCCTCCAATAATTCAGAAGCTCTATGAGCATGGACCTTTGATAATCCCAATAATTGAGAAGCTCTATGAGCACTTCTCGAAGTCTTATCGCTGCTTATTACATCTCATATACGGTTTTTATGCACCTAATTTGACGTCATAGCCCATCCTTTCTTTGGTCCAATCTTCCATTTGTCGCATAAATTAATAAAATATGCGAGAACCTAATTTTTGACCATGATGCCTTAGTTTTTTCAGATAACTAAATATCCTAATCAGAAAGTAATGATAAGGAAATGACTGTCGCACAAATCGTGTGCGGAGGTTCTTTTTGATAACAAGAATATTTTTCGTGCAAAACGGTCTGCCACAATTTGGACACAACCAGTCATGCCTTCAGAGTTCCGTGCTGCTATCTAGGCCCTCGCTATGTCTAGTTTTTGTAAGGCGTCTTTCCATTTCATTCATTTGTAAGTGACAGTGTTCGCCACCGCAGAGGAAAGGCAAAGTTGAGTTAACAGGTGCGATTGGGAACAAAGGATAGTCCGAGGATAAACTGATGTGTTATTGCGCTGTAAATGACAGAGTGGATGTGAATTCTGAAGCCAGTGGGACGAAAAGAAAGTCCTCTCTTCAATAGCGGCAGAGCGAAATAGCACTGATTCGGGGCCGGGATCTGTGGTGGTGGGCGATATGTGGTGAATCCTTGAGCCTTGGGCCTCAGCCTAACTAAGTTGTGGCACCAAGTAGGTACGTGCTTTCTCCCTGCGTTCCACTCCATAATTCTTGCGCAAAAGCCTCATTTCGATCGGAAATCCCGGACTGTGCATCGAAGGCCACGCCGGGATTAAAGGCAAACTCCGGGATTGAACTGGTGCTATCAGCGCTTGTAGTGATAGCTTAGCTGCGGAACGACCTGAAAGTGGAAGGAAAGCAAGAGAAATCTTTGGAACGCTGAAATAAGGCCTTAACCTTCAATAGGGTCGGATGTGGTACGATGGCGAGAAAGGGCGGTCAAAGAAGACAAAATACGCGAGAGAGCACGTCGTTTGAGAGAGCACGCTGATCTCACCACCTCTCGCGGTGGGTGGGAAGTTCGATGGTTGGAGGCCCGTAAGGATTAGCGCCCTAACCGCGCAATTTTTGCGACGAAGCTGGAGTGATCTAGGTAGGTACGGACCTTACAATTTCCCTCGTGGTATCCCTCCTACTAGTCGGGCTAATCCCGGGGTTTGCCTTCAAGCCAACACCTATTCCATCCGTTTGCAGTAGACAGCAATTTCAAACCATTTGTGGCTTGGAAGCGTCGACAAGGGCGCCCGACCCGCCGACATACACCTGTTGTCCTGCCTTCGATGCAGTTGCACGTGGCGCTGCTTGGAAAAGGCGGACGCACTTGAGTAGCGGTTGCATTGCGGCGTAGTGTCATTGGCACTGGAGCAGGTGGAGATAGGTTCGCGAAACTCGTCCAACACACCCCTTGTTTATCCCAAGGTGAATTGCGGTATGAAAGAGAAGTGAGTTGCTATCTTGGGTGGTCGGGGGATCATTCCTCAGCTTTCCTTTTCCTCTTTCCAGACCAACTGCTCACCATTTAGATTCTAACGCTGAACAATTTTCAAGCCCATTCATCCGCGGAGCTTGCTTTTAAGTGAACAGCGGTACACAGAGCAATTATGGGAGTTCCGCGTTTTGTATTGGCAGGTCGAGAAACGCCGCTGAGTGCATTCCAATGATTGATGAATATGCTCGACTCAACAAATTCTTCGCATCGAATAGATTCTCTTGATGACACTTAGCTGCCCTGAACTACCGTGCTTTGACTAACACTCCTTTAGAAAGAAACAGTTTGAACTTCCGCAGAATTTCCCCTCGAATGCGTTAAAAATGTTTCTGCCTGGGGTGTATTTCACCCAGATAATGCAGCTTTCTTTAGATTTCTGGTAGGCTCGCGCCGCAAAGAAGGAAGGAACACACGGGAACCAAACGAATAGACTAGTTCGGAATCAGGATAGGGTGAATTCAAAGATCTCGAAAGCTTAGATTTCACTATATAATATCAATATAAGCTCCACCGACCATCGACTACCAGAAGAGAACACAGACTGCGCGGGCGCGAAGCTTCAAAATCGGCACAAAGCTTGCGTGGTCGAATCAGAGTTTGATTGGCCACCTTCTGCTTCGATCGATTCAGCTCACGTTTGCGGATTTCCTGGAAGGGTAATTATTTAGGGCAGTCTTGGAGGCGTGTTGCAGCAAAACAGATATTAAAGGCAGTGATCGCGACCGGCTGGAGGGCGGCGCGGTTTCGATGACGTCACTGCGCAGTGTTGGTGGACTAGACCATCTCATCGCTCGTGGACCGCCTTAGCGCCCTTTCACCAATGACGTGACGTCATCAAAACTGAACCGCCCACCAGCCAGCCAGCCGGCCTTTGAAAAGGGATTAGAAAACCTAAAGTGGCCGACTATGAAGGAAGAGCTGCAAAGCATATCCTTCTGATGCATAAGAATTGAAAGAGATGAAGATAATGATTCGTAGAAAAGTGAATAAAAAAGAGAGAAAGTGGAGAAAGAAAGGCTGGACGAATTTCACGCTACCGAGATGCTAACGAGACTAGGACTATGAATTATATAATATTCCAACCACTTTCAGCTTCGAATATTGAAAATACTACCCACAGCCAACGAACACGGCTCCAGTCCAGCGAATCCTCGTCTGATGACCGGCCGAGACAGGTTGTATTTGTTGGATCGGAACCCATCGGAGGCCATCGTCCGCCATTTCTCTACATATCGAGCAGCAACTGCTTGTTCACGCCTGAACGACCTCATGTTTGCAGCTTAGCTGCAGTACAGAAAAAAACAACACAACCAACCCCCTTTTTGCTTTCTTCCTACCGTAGATCACTTCGATGGTGCTGAAAAGTGCTCCAGCTGCCACTCCTCCAGTGACAAGGATAAAGACGTCCTGGAAAAATCAATAGGGCCACAATTCGTTTTCAAAGTTGTTCTTTGGGCATGATTCCCGTCACTCAAACACAAGGCACTTAGTGGGGCTGTAGGCGAAAGGCCGAAAACTGACTCGCATATTCCAAAGACTGAGTCGTGCAGGAGATTTATGGGCTTCGGTGACGCATTTGGATTCCCGGTTGTCGATCCACTTGGCGTCCAAATTCTCCATGACTCCGCCTGAAACGGAGCGTAGTTTCAAGGGACATTACATTTATCCCCACAAAACTTTTAGGAATTGGGTCCCATCAAATTTGAGCATGGAGGATTCCAGGAGCGAAATTCTTAGCATCAATCTGGTCAGCCTCGAATTTTTTCCAAAGGCTCACTTTCAGTCATTCTAAGAATAGCGGATGTGATGTGAGGCGTCCATGGGCTGTTCTTTTGCAATCCAACACCATACGCACTTCGTCCAAACAAGGCACCTCTGAAATTGCGTGGGTTGAACAGCAGCCGAACAATAAGGTAAGATCGAAAACAGCCGTAAATAAAAAGGAAAATTTATTTTTTTTTGGTTTTTTTTGTTGTGTCTGTTTTTTTTTTTTTTTGGTTGTTTGTTTTTTTGAATGCACAGCGCACCTGGTTCGCAATACACAATGTCTGGCTGCCTCGAAATCCAGTCGAGTAGAATCCCAAATGAAAGCGTCCAGAGGAGCTAAATATTCAACGAAATTCACTGAACTCTAGATGGACCTACGGGGAGGGTTCCAAAAAAGTGAAGTGATTTTTCAAGAGCATTGTTGTGAGCGACCATGCGAGCTCCGTGATGGTCCCGGTGATGATTCGATTTATAAAACTGGTACAAGCGGCAAACGCAGTAGCTTCATCTTGGCATTTGTAAGGAAAGGAGGAAACATGTGGGGAACGGCGCTGTTGGACTTAGGGGACGTCGCTATTCGAGGAACCCAACACAATTAGCTATCCCCTTCCTCACCCCAGGACTAACCTTTGGGGAACTAGGGGGTGCAAGCGAATTTTTGCTTCCGACCTCCCAGCCTCAGTCCGCACAGCGATGCCCTCCCTGAGTACACCGCATCCAAAAATGACAGTTGAAATGCTTGTAGTAGAAGTATTGATAGCAAAATAAGCTGAAGACTATGGATATTTATAAGGGCAAGGGCGAAGTGCTAGATGGTCAGGGATGGACAGCATTTGTCGGCCGATGTGCTCAACAGCACGGGGGGGGGGAACTAACGATGATCTGAGTAGAAGTATCCTTCCCTCAGGCTGGAAGAACCAGAAAGGAATGGCTCACCCATTGATCAGAGACGACAACGCATCGGAAACCTGAAACAAGAGCATGGTCCATTAATTGAAAGACCTTCGAAAAGCACAGAGTATGACAAAAATTCTAAAAATTGCTAAAGAAAAACTGGTACTTTTTCCACATTGTGTGCTTCCATTTTTCGGAACATGGTAGAGAGTTCAACGTGTCGCTTGAAGTACTGGTAGACGTTCGAATTGAGTACCGTGCCGAAAGAGAAATTCGCTGACGGATTTCGCAGCTGAAAAGAGCATCTCGAAGACTGCGCTCTGAAAGGCTCTAATAAGGACAGGAATTACAAACCCTTGGATCAGTGATGCCGGTGAGGCCTTTTTCGGGTTGATCCAGGACGAGAAAAGCGGCCAAGTTGGCGGTATAGGAGGCCACCATGATCATGCAAAATCCGCACCACACGATCCCGAGAACTCGCGCTGCGCAGCTCCGAGGAGTCTCTGAAAGTAGAAAGGCATTGCAAAGCAATGGAGAATGGGAAGGCTGTGAGTGACCCGTTCAGAGGTGAATCGACCGTAAACAGACCGAAAAATTCATGGAATTGCCATAAAGCTTGCTAAGAGTTACATATGCGTTATGGTGGCTACTAACTCGAGTTGAGAGCATCGATGAAAATGTGATGGGGGTCAGCGGTTCTGTAAACTGTGTGCGACATCATTTCACACCATTTTTTCAATTAACCTGGGTTTTTATGTTGCATAAT